CCTAGGGAGCTTAAGTGGGTTGCTCAGAGCTAATGGGCCAGTGGGTACAGAGAGCTGGGAATGGAAGCCAGGCTGCCTGCCTCCTGATCCTGTGCTCCGACTCACTTTGGGCCGCATTTGTACCTGGGCTGGTCCTCCACATCTGGGGAGGTAAAAGCACAGCTGGGAGGGGGCTGGTGCAGGGGAGAGCCTTGTACAGGGAGAGGGGTTTCTCTCTCTGCCCAAGGTTCCGTCGTGTTCAGACTTCTCCCCTCCCCTACCCCGGGTCCTGCTTTCTTTCGCACAGGAAGCTCTTCGTGTTCCTGGCAGTGTTCATCTGCCTTGTGATCTCCTCCCTCATCATCTTTTTCCTGTTTCCCCGGTCCATCGCTGTGCAGCCCGCGGGCCTCAACTCCTCCACGGTGGCCTTTGACGAGGCTGACATCCACCTCAACATAACAGTGGGTGGATGCCCTCACCCCTGGGCCCCACACTGCCTTGCCGGCAGCTCTTCTCTGTAGCCCTTGTCCAGTGTTGCCATCCCGGGCTCAGGTAGTCAGGGCTACTATGGCAGGCCAGAGGGTGTCAAAGCCTGGGGAGAAGCAGGCACAACCGTGAGCCCCACAGCGGATTTTGCAGGATTAGAACTATACGCAGCGAGGGGTCAGAATCAGGGCGAGAGAAATAAAACACGGGGTGTGGTCGGGGGGCATGCCTGAGACTCCCTGGGTGGGCAGAACTGAACAGAGAGAAGCCTCGCAGGATGAGCCTGGGCCCTGGGCCAGCTTCGTGTCTTATGGTGACCCCTTTGCCATTAAGAGCCCCTCCAAGGGGCTCCTGGCGCTGGGCTTTGGCAGCTAAGGCCCATAGTGGGAGTGGGGATCAGTCAGACAGGGGGCTGGAGGGGGGTTTGGGAAGCTATTTGACTTCTCCTTTTCAAGCATGGTCACCTTCCCACTTCCCTTTCCCTTGTCTTCATCCTTAGAATATCTTAAACATCTCCAATAGCAACTACTACCCCATCACTGTGACCCAGCTGACCATAGAGGTTCTACACTTGTCCCTCGTGGTGGGGCAGGTCACCAACAGCCTCCTCCTCCACATCGGCCCTTTGGCCAGCGAACAGGTGACTTCCTCCTCTCTCTGGCCAGCCCTGCCCACAGAGGTGTGGACATGTGTGGGGGTCGGAAGGGGCAGCTGGGGTTGGGGCTCACCCTGTGCCCATTTGGTTAACAGATGTTTTATGCAGTGGCCAACAAAATCTGGGATGAAAACACATAGTAAGTATCCCTTGATCTCTTCTACCTTAGCCTCTTTCCCTGGTTGGAAACCCAGTGTTCATCCCTACCAGATTTCCTGGCTGCTTAGCAAACCCTGCAGCCAGCATTTGGCCCTCACTCTCGTGGCCAAGACTGCAATCTGCAAGGGATTCAGGGTCCCCAGCCCTCTGCCTGTTTGGACTTAGGTGGAAATGAAAACAGGCCAGAATTGGGTTAATTCTTACACTATGTGACCTTGGGCTCTTCAGCCTGAGTCGCTGAGAAAGATGAATGTCTTGTTTTCTGTTGAGGGAGGGGCTAGCACACAACTGGGCCAAGCGTCTGGGGCTTGGAGGAACAATATCGCAGCAAGGGTGACATGCTCACCTTCGAGGGAGAGAGAAAGAGTAGGAGTGGCATTTGGTGTCCCTGATGGAAAAGAGCCCAGGAGCCTGGGACCTGCAGGTCTCCTCCCAGCTGCTGGGCTGCTCAGTGTGAAACATGGTCCTGTGTTCTTTCTCTCTCAGCAAAATCTGTTCCTGGATGAAAATCAAAGTCCACCACGTGCTTTTGCACATCCAGTAAGTAGGGCTTGGAGCCCGGGTGTCCCCCCTCGCCCACTTCTGACCTCGGGCTCTCCTCTGCTCCACCTTGTGGGAGGAGTCATCCAGAGCTAACTCTGTGGATCTTTGTTGGCTCTTGGGAAAGCAGGTCCGGCCCCTTCCCTGGATCCTGCCTTGCTTATAAGCCATCGGTGGGACAGCCACAGACAGAGCTGTCTGGATCACAGGTGGGACAGCTGTCCCAGGTGCGTTGGCAGAGTAGGGAGCAGAAGGAAGAGCGTGCAGTGTTTAAGAGAGCCCCCCCTCCCCAGACAGCAGAGCAGGGCCAAAGCTTTCCTCTTTGCCCTCAGACACAGCAACAAAGCCTGCTTCCTCTCCAGGGGCACCCTGACCTGTTCCTGCCTGAGCCATTCAGAGCAGCTAGTCTTCCAGAGCTATGAATACGTGGACTGCCGGGGAAACACGTCGGTGCCCCACTTGCTGGTCCCTCACCCGCCATGACCTGTCCGCTGTTCCCGAACCCCAGGCCCCCGCCACGCTGGGCTGTGTCTCCCTGAGCCCAAGGAAGGACTACAGCGACTTTGCCAAAGGAAAAGCACTGCTTTACTCTACCTCCTCCCCACCACACACACACACACACACACACACACCCTCAGCACAGGAAGCCCTATGTAAAAGTTAACTGTACACACACACATGCACGCATGCATGCACGCCTCTCACGTCCTCTGACTTCCACAGGAAAAGAAGTCTGGTTCTTCTAGGGCCCAGCGCCAGACTTTCCCCTTGGTCTGTCCTGAGGAAAGTCTGACCTGATGTGTCTTCAGAGCTGCCTTAGAGTCCCTGGAGTGGCATCTGCTTTCTGTACTGAGCACCGTGGTTGCCTAGCCCCTCTGGGGCTGACCTCCCTCCCGCCTGAAGGGAGAAATCTTTCCTTTTATCTGGCTTTTAAAACCTGGATCTTTTTCACGTTCTCCACCCAGTGGTGGGAAACTGACTTGAGGGACATCCATGCTGTCTCGTGCCTTCCTGCTTTGGTCATGTGACAGAGTGGTGGTGCTGGTCAGCTTCTCTCCTGGTAACTTGGGCCCTGACAGTGAGGTTGGCTAAGGCCCTTTGGCTCCGCAGCCTCCCTGATTAAAGACTGTCCCAGTTCCTAGGAAGACAGAGCTATTCTCTGGCTAAAGCTTCTCTCCATAAAAATCGTTTTCTTATTCTCATCACAGCAGGAGTGAACGTAGTAGTGGGGGAGCGAGAGAGGCATCTGGCACCCCCTCCGCCTCTCCAGGAAAAACAGAGATGAAGCCAGAGTCATTCAGGAAGTTATTTATTGAAGTTAGGCTTCTGGCTGGTGGTCGGCCCACAGCGCTGAGCCCGTGTGAGTGGACACAGGTCGGTCAGACGACGGTGTCAGCGGCCGCCCGGTGACGGCCTGCAGAGGTGAAGCTGTCAGGATTCGGCCAAGCTCCTGGGCGCTACCGCATCCCCAGCGTAACTCCAGGGCCCATCCTCTGCTCCCAGAGGTTTCTGCTTTCCTTCGGGCATGGACAGGCTGGAACTGCACATCAGTAGAGACCGGTCTCGACCTCTCCTCTTTGCTGTCACTCAGATGCAGAAGCGAAGTCCCAGATAATGCAGGTTCCCACTGGGCTCCAGATGAAGGCGGTTTGTGGTGTCGCTGAGCAGGAATGGTAATTGCTCACTAAAGGGAGCTGTGGTTTTTCTCAGGCCAGGAGGTGAACTTAGGTGGTGGGGCAAGCCGAATGCGAAGTTGGATGGATGGAGAGAGGGCAGTGGGGACAGCACCTGGCTAGCTGGCTGGGCGGACAAGGGGAAGGAAGGAGGTTGTCCTGCCTCCGCGCTTTCGTGCCTGAGTAACTGGAGTCAAGAAGATGCTACCAGGAGCACAGAAGTCCAGAAAGGCCAGGCTGGAGTTTCCACTGTGTGTTGGTTGCCAAATGTCAAGGATTTATATCGTCTTCAATAAACTATACTTCACAATGTTAGAGTAAACAAAGAGTCTCCTGTGAGTTGGGAGGAGAGCTGGACGACACTCCCGGCCTGTTTCTGAGTGGCCGAGTGGGTGCCAAGCTCTCTTCCCCAGGCCCAGAGCCCCTCTGTTCTTCTGGTTGCTGAGAGAGCACTCCTGGGAGCTCACTCTCTCCCTTCCTCCCACTGTGTGTCTCTGAAGTTCCCTCCCTACTTTAATATTCCTGTTCTGGGCCCCACCCCAGGTCCCCCGGCTGCCCCCCTCAGGAAACACTGCCCTGAGGGGCCTCTTCAGCCTGTGGGCTTCCTTGAAAGGCCCAGGCATCCCCTCACCAACGCCAGGTGGAAAAGGGGGACAGGCTGTGGGAGGGACCCCGGGTGTAAGCTTCAGGAAGTGGTGAGGGGGTGAAACCTGTTTCCGGGAGAGGCTTAGGTGGGGGAAGGAAGAGGCCTGTGGGGTTCTGTGGGCCAGTACCCCTCCCCTTCCCAAGATCAGGTGTCCTGTACTTGAGGCTACAGCCCCCCTTTCCTCTGAGCTCTTTCCACCCCTGCCTCCCATCATCCATGCCACAGCTCAGCGCCCGCTATGGGCCAGGCATTACACTGGACTTGGGGGGGCCCTGCCTGCCACCTCTAACGCTGCTCCAGGCCCGTGCAACCTCTCCTTCCCCAGTTGTGTCTCAGTAAGCAGCGGCTAGTGGAGAGGGGTGATGGCTCCAGTGAGAGTCCTCAACCTAGAGCCCCCAACAGGGGTGCCTGGGGGGCTCAGTCGGTTAAACATCCACCTTGACTCTTTTTTTTTTTTTTTTTTTTTGACAGAGACACAGTGAGAGCGGGAACACAAGCAGAGGGAGTGGCAGAGGGAGAAGCAGGCTTCCCGTGGAGCAGGGAGCCCGATGCAGGGCTCGATCCCAGGACCCTGGGATCATGACCTGAGCCAAAGGCAGACGCTTAACGACTGAGCCACCCAGGTGCCCCCCACCTTGACTCTTGATTTCGGCTCGGGTCATGATGTCAGGGTTGCTGGATGGAGCCCTGTGTCTGGCCCTGTGCTCAGCAAGGAGTCTGCTCGTCCCTCTCCCTCTGCCCCTCCCCTCACTTGCTAGAGCACACACATGGGCTCGTGTGCTCTCTCTCTCAAATAAAATCTTTGAAGCCCGATAGACCTATCCTTGCTAAATAAGGGCCAGCAATGGAGCTATATAGACTTGGGAAGGCCAAGACCAAGTTCTCCCATTGGCTTTGCCTACAGAAGCATGGATGCAACCTACTTTCTTCTCCCACCCGCTCCATCCCCTTCATGGGTCCTCATTCCCCTTTCCCTTCATCCCAGTCTCACAGAGCTGACCAGTCTCTTGATTCTTTTTAGGAGGAAATCACATTTTATTCCCGGCTAGCTCCTCTTCTAGAGTGGATCAGGAGGGGGTGACTTGGAGTGGAGATGCTGGGGGTGAGAAAGAAGTCATCTGTTTTTTTGCTCATGGCCAGTGGGGTTGAGGGTCTCTCTCTGGGTCACCACTGCTGTGTGTAATTCGTTGACTGAGAAGAGGGAGAGACAAGAGGCAAACCGGGTTAGTTAGCCATTTCTGGGCCTGCTTTTCCAGAACATTGTATCAAGCCCTTTGAGGCCAGAGAAATAAAAGTAAAATGGAGTGGCCCAGTCCTCATCCTAACAGGGCTAGCATCACGCTCTCTCATCCTTTGCACCTGTGCCAGAGAAACCTTCTTTCCAAAGCTTGTACTGTGTTATGTCCTTATCAAGAGTGACCACCCCGGGTTTGCAGGCCTGGATTGAGCCAGGTCCTAACCTCAGGGCTTGTGATGCCTTCTCTTCGATTGCCACATTCAGTGGTCCGACACCTCTGTTAAGGAGGTAGTATTAGCCCTCTCATCTTATGGATGGGGCAGATGAAGCTCAGAGATGCAGTCACGCCACTGGGGACTGGCCATCCTGAGACTCACAGCCTGTGACTTCATGTCTTGCCTTCCTCCGGCTCCAGCTGTCTCCGCCCCAATCAGCACTTAAAACAGCCCCTCTGTTTTGCTTCTCTGGCACCTGGCCCATCTTTTTTTTTTTTTTTTTAAGATTTTATTTATTCATTTGAGAGAGAGAATGAGATAGAGAGTATGAGAGGGGAGAGGGTTAGAGGGAGAAGCAGACTCCCCGCCAAGCAGGGAGCCCGACGTGGGACTCGATTCCAGGACTCCAGGATCATGACTTGAGCTGAAGGCAGTCGCTTAACCAACTGAGCCACCGAGGCACCCCTGGCCCATCTTTTTGAATAGACTGTCAACGCCTCCGTTTCTGCTGAGTGCCGAGCAACAGGCCACAAATGGAGGAATGGGCCATTCAGCAGTGACTATATAATTGCATATAAAGGCTTTATGTAACTGACTTTTTAAAATATAAATAATTGCAGCCCCTCCCGCCAAGGAAGCCTCTCTAGATTACACACACACACGCAGCCAGAGTCCACCTGCCTTTCGCACTGTCTCACCGTGAATCGTGAGTGCTCAGTGTATTTATCTGGATTTGACTGGAATGAGTTCCTGAAACCTGATGGTGAAACAAGCATACATTATTCATCTGACAGTTTCTGAAAACGGAACACGGCAGAGCTGGACTCTCTACTATGTGTCTGGGGGGCAGGGGGCAGCCCCTACCTAGGGCAAGGCACAGACAGAGCCCACCCTGAAAATTCACACCCGGGAAGCTGCACCGTGATTCCTGTTCCAGACTTCCCAGGGCTCAGCTCGTCTCTTGTTAAGCCCACCCTCACTCCCTCTGACACCCTCGCCCCGGAGGAGGGGCTGCCACCCTCTGCAAAAGTCAGCAGCCTCCTTTGCACCTCCAGAGTGATGCAAACGTCCCCGGGGGGGAGTGGCCCCCAAGTAAAGGCCAGGGATGCCCGGCAGAGTCAGAGACAGTGGGAGGACGGAGGTGAATTCTGGACTATAGGGCTGGGGGTGGGAGCAGGGAGCTCTCTCCTCACCACCTGCCCTCCCAGGCATCTCACTTACTAGCGCCTTGAGGGAGTTTTGTTCCTCCTGGGAATCTGTTAAAGTCGGATTGCCCTCCAGCTTGATGGGTCCCTACTGAGCCAAGCTGGGGACCTGGCTTTTGGGAATCCTGCAGAATGTGCACAGACGTGCACGGAGTCAGAGGGTCTTGGGCATTCTGTTGCCTTGGCTGAGGCGGCGGTGGCACGGGTGGGGTCTGTGACTGCTCCAGGAGCTTCGGTCGGGGAGGCTGCGGTTGGGTGGGGGGCGCCTGCAGCTCTGGTGGCGCTCCTGGTGGCCTCAGCGGCAGTGACAACTGCTGCTCCTGTCGCGACCCCTGAGGGGGCTGGGGTCTTTTCTCAGATTGGCCTTCCTCCTCTTGGAGTTTCTTCAGTTCCTGCAAGAAGACCCCCGCAAGTGGCATCCTCCTCCCTCCCCACCCAGTTGCCCATCTGCCAAGGACACTGCGGGGAGCAAGGCAAGCCATCAGTGCAGAGGCACAGGTGGCCGGAAGGTCTCTGTTCCCTGGACGTGGAGGCTGGGCTATCTCCCTTCACCCACCACAATACCCGAAAACTCTTTCTTTGGGGACAGTGCCCCCCTGGCACAGCCCTGGCCCAGGAAACAGCAGTCTCTGGGCACCTACCTCCTACCTTGGGAGCTGTGCACTGAAAACAGTTTGCAGTGGGGGAAGAATAAAGAATACTTTCTTGCAAACCCTGGGAGACAGCACTGTCCAATAGAAATATAATGCATGCAACCAGTAACTTTAAAATCTTCTAGTAGCCACGGGCGCCTGGGTGGCTTGGATGGTTGAGTGTCTGCCTTCGGCTCGGATCATGATCCCAGGGTCCTGGGATCGGGTCCTGCATCGGGCTCCCTGCTCCTCGGGAGCCTGCTTCTCCCTCTGCCTCTCTCTCTCTCTCTCTCTCTCTCTCTCTGTCTCTCATGAATAAATAAAATCTTTAAAAAATAAAATAAAATCTTCTAGTAGCCACATAAAAAAGCAAGAAGAAAACAGGTGAAACTGGGGCACCTGGGTGGCTCAGTTGTTAGGCGGCTGCCTTCGGCTCAGGTCATGATCTCAGGATCCTGAGATCGAGCCCCGCATGGGACTCCCTGCTCAGCGGGAAGCCTGTTTCTTCCTCTCCCATTACCCCTGCTTGTGTTCCCTCTCTCTCTGTCAAATAAATAAAATAATTTTAAAAATAAATAACACTATAAAAAAACAGGTGAAACTAATTTTAATATATTTTGGTTAACCCAATACCTCCAAAACGTGTAATCAATATAAAAATATTAATGAGATAGTTTATATTCTCTGTTTTTGTACTAAGTCTGCAAAACACAGCATTTATTTTATATTTAACAGCACATCTTAATTTGGATACTACATTTTGATCAAAAATAATTGCTTTAGATTTAGATTTTATAAAATTTACAGTTGAAAAAGATGTACCTATCCAAGTTGTTCTAAACATACTTCAAAGTTTTCCAATACATAAAGAGTATTTGTTTTTAAATTTAGATTTAAATTAGTTAAATGTATATGAAATTTTAAATTCAGTTCCTCAGTCTCACTAGCCACATTTCAAGGGCCCAGCAGCACACAGGCTGGTGGCCACCCTATCGGACAGTGCAGCTTTAAAATCTCTCAGGCCAGGGCTCCTGGGTGGCTCAGTCACTGAACGTCTGCCTTCAGCTCAGGTTATGATCCCAGGGTCCTGGGATCGAGTCCCGCATCGGGCTCCCTGCTGGGTGGGGAGCCTGCTGCTTCCACTGCCTCTGCTTGCCACTCCCCCTGCTCGTGCTCTCTCTCTCTCTCTCTCTCTCTCTCTGTCAAATAAATAAAATCTTTAAAAATATAAATATAAATAAATAAAATCTCTCAGGCCTGACCCTCCCTGGATCCCCCACTAGGCCTCAGCCTAGTACAACAGCAAAGTTGAGTTACCCTAACACACACACACACGCACACACACAGAGTCCATCCAAGAGACTATCAAAGGAACCTTACTTTCTTCCTACCCCCAGCAAAAACATTAACCAGATAATAGTTTCCTAGGGATCTGTCTCTCCTCCCCATTCCCTTCCAGCCAGCCCCCTGGAAGGACCCCAATGAGCCTGGACCTTCTCATGCTCATGCACCTGCTCCTGCTGCTGCTGCTGCTGCTGCTGCTGCTGGTGCTCGGCCACAAGCCACCTCCTCCGGTCCAAAACCATCTGCCTGCGCCGGGCCTCCCAGTGGTAAGCGCTGCCCATGATGGTGGGGGTGACAGAAGGCCTCAGAAGGGGGTGGGGCAGGCAGAGCCCAGGATGCTGCCGCCACCACCTCTGTTTCCTCTCACCCCCACCCCACTGCCTGTAACCAGAACCACCTCACAATGGGAGGAGGGAGGGCATCTTCCTAAGTTGCCTAGGGAAGGCCTGTAAACTACATTTCTCTCCAAGGCCCTGTGAAGGGAAAAGACACCTTTCCACCTTAGCTTTGAGTTTCCATGGGCCCCAGGGACAGTTTCCACGTCAGCTGGCTCTTCTCTCTGACTTCGTTCTCCCACCCTTCCCAGGATTCCGGCATCCTCATCTGGCCCTCTGCAGACCCCCATCTCCCCACCACCAGAGTTCTCTGGAGTTACGTTTCCCTCAGTCCTCCATCTCCTCCTGCTATACTGAGTCAAGAGGAAAGAAAATATAAAATCCAATGACCCCTCACTGGGGTGTGAGCCCCTGTGAAGGCAGGGTGGCTAATTCGCCTGTGGATTCCCAATGCTGGGCTCAAGCCTAGGGTCTACCTCTGCCTCTAACCTTGGAGACCCTACATAACCTCCCTGGGCCTCAGTCCCCTTGCCTGTAGAATGGGAAAGGTATTACTGGTTATCTCCTCCACAGGACTGACATCAGGACTAAGTGGATTAATGGATGCAAAATGTACAAGATGAAGCAGAAAATTACTGAGCTGCAGGTTGATATTTTTTATTCTCCTACCTGATTTTTATCCCAGGTAGGTGGGATGGCCAGGGGAGGGGATCATTCCCTGCAACCCAGGAAGGCTTCTGGGGCAGGGACTGGGTGGGCTATTGACTGCTAGGCTCCCTCCTACACCCATATGCCCTTACCCACAGATAACAATCCTTCTAGAAGCAGCAGAGCCTGAGTCCAGCTTCAGGTGTGGGGGCAGGGAAAGGGCATGGGTGAAAAAGGTCTTCAAAGCCAGTCACAGCTTCAAACCCTGTGCTGGTGGAAAGCAGGGTGCCATGGGAAGGTGACAGTGGAGAGCAGCCCTTGCTCCAGAGAACAGGTTCCTGGAGAACCTGTCAATCTGGTCAGCTGCTTTAGTGGACGGAGCCTGGGCTGTGGAGTCCCAACACACTCGGGCTGAATCATGCTTGTGCCACCATTAGCTGGTGGTCCTTAGGTAGGTCACTCAGTGTCTCCTAGCCTTTCCGGTGATACTGTTTGTGTAGAGGCCACTTTTAGGCAACAGGCTTGAACAATGGAATGTAGAAAGGGCCGGTGGTCAGCCACCACCAAAGTGAATACAGACAGGCTCCTTGGGCAACCCACCTCAAACTATCCATAGGCCCTACCTAACCGATCAGGCACAGTTACCAAAAAATGGAAAATTCCATATGTCCCCATACCTCCTCACCTTCCCTCTTTAAATACAGCCCCCACCCACTACCTCATGGCAGACCAGACCTGCTCTCTTCTGCTCTCCTGCCCACGGCTCCCTGGCAGTATATTCAATCTCTTCTAACTCCTTTGTTCTGCCTGAGGTGAATCCTGTCACTGCCCGTGCCACCAGCCCCCACCTGATGGGGACGCCCCACAGTTAGGGGCCCCCATCCGATCAATAGGGAGAGACACCACATTTTGGAAGACACCATGGGATGCTTGGAAAATGCCTGCCCTCACAGTGAGCATGAGCCAATCCTCATGCCAGAAGAGGGATTTTCAAGGTGAATCATGCCCTCCCCGTCCCTTGCTCACACTGCCTCTCCCAACCCCCACCTCAGAATCTTTGTTGTGGAAGGAACAACAGTATATTTAGAAGCACGGGCCAGGTAAGTCCTGTGAAATACCAGCTGTATTATTTATTACATGTACAAATGTGGCCTAGTTGCTCTCTCTCTGATCAGTTTCCTCACCTGCAAAGTAGAGATAATAATACCTCTATTCAGAAAGTGTTGTGATAATTAAAGGAAATAATCCATGTCAGGCACAGGATTCAATAAACAGAAGCTTTTACATCCCAATAAACCCATCGTAATTTGAAAAAAAATCTAGGTCGAACATGCATTTAATACACCAGCCTATGAAACATCATAGTGTTACAGAACAATCTAGCATAGCTGCTAATTCCAGAAACAAACAGGTGAGCCCTGATGCTCTGTTGCGGCCAACTGCTCCATCCTGGGGAAGCTGGAGGGGGCTGGACAAATCAAAAGCATAACTCCTGGCTGGGTTTGCTGACACTGTTACCAAGCAAAGTCGGATAAATTCTGCTGCTGCTGCTCAAGAAGCCAATAACTCAAGAGAGGAGGGTTTGGAAAAGAGAAAGGGAAAGATTTGTTTCGGGTGGCAGCAGCTAAGGAAGGTGACAGGCTCAAGCCTTAACAATCGACCTCTCCAATGGCAAGATGGACACCTAGAGTTGTAGAGAGGTTCAGGAGGGTACATGCAAGAGAAAAGGCAGAAAGCATATGATCATGGGGGGTTGGTATGTGTTCAGCCCACGATTATGGGCAGGGAAGGGAATGTGTGAAGTGTGGTCTTCTAGACATTCCATTGCCATCAGGGCTTCTGGTCCAACGATGGGAATGTTCCAGTCATTGTCCATGCCTTAAGAAAATGCGATAAGAAATAAGCATTGGGGTCTGTGGTTGAGCAAGAGGGTTTGCTGACAATAGCTTAGCCTAGCCTACCTTAAATGTACTCAGAATGTTAGCTAGGATGGAAAGGAAACTTACTCACATAAAGAGGCTGAAAGCCATCAGCAAAAAGGAGGGGAAGAGACAAAAGCAGGGAAGGGATATGTTTTGTTTTGCAAGTCCAGAAGTTCCTGCCAAGGAAACACTTAGCCAGGTGTTTCACCTGATAGCCCCTTATGTGAGCCAGTTTGAGCTGGAATGGAGCTGACAACCTGGGAAGAAACCTCCCTGTCCTGAAGTTCCCGTTAGCTCATTATAATACTAAGATCTCCTCCTATGGGTGGAGTTCTCTGCCATTTTTTTAATATACCGTGTATGTTCTAACATGCTGACGTGCTAGGCACACACAATTGAACTAAAGTACTTATGTGAGGTCCCTGCCCCAGCCCCCTGATACACTGAATAAAAACTTCCTAACAATCAACAAAACTAAAAGGCAGCCTACGGAATGGGAGAAGATAT